ATTAAACTGATCAGAACAGATACTACACTTGATCTTAGCCAAAAGGCCGAGAAAGGTATGATTCACAGTTCGCCTTCAGCGGTTTTATAGGACTCATCCTTGGCACAGGTCTCCAGAAGAGAGTTATGGGTGCACATTTCTGCTCGTGAATCAGTGTGCTGTGCGTTTGCTTTTTTATCCATTTCTTTTGTCTTTTTTTGGAGAAGGGTGAGTTCGTACTACCAGAAGAAGTGGTCCCACTAGCGAAGGGGATAGGATAGAAATCCTGAATCTGGCTATGTTTTATGCAGAGATACAGAAAAGCAGTTCTATCTCGAGTTCCTGCTCCTTTCCTCAAACACGTCCAGATTCGGGCATTCAATCCGATGCACTTTGCTAATGGGACCACGGCCCAGAAGAAGTGGGATCAAGCAGCCTAGCTCCGTTGGTTAGGCACACAAGTGGCATTCAGGAGGTCTTGGGTTCAATCCCCATTGCCGTCATGTGCCTTCCTGGGCAAGCTTGGCGCCTTGGTTCCCGCGAGCGGCATAGAGCAGAGACTGCTGATGTACCAAGGGGGAGGGGACCCGGGAGGAGGCACAGAGACTAGCCCATGGAAGCAGCTCGGTCCTGATACTTCCGGCTGACCTCTACCGGGTACAACCCAGCTGCTGAAGCAGGTATCACACCTGCTGACGGGTGCAGCTCCTGCATGCTCCACTGCTCAGCGAATGTGCAAACTGAGAATGAATCTTCCGTTAGAACATGGAAACATACACCGGCATCATAGAGCGTCACTTTACTGCTCACCCAATGCACAATTTGAGAATGAATCTTCCGCCACGCTAAAACATACCGCCACCATAGCCAGTCAAATTTAAGTGACTGCTCACGTCGTATGCAGAGATGCTAGAATTACTCTAAGTATTTTTTTGGAAAGGACGCTGGACCTGGTTTCCAGCCAGTGTTCTGTCTCTTCTTCTGAGGACACTGGAGCTGCTTTCCAGTCTGATACCCAAGATAGGATGCTTGAACTGTTTTTTTCCCAGCAATCCGGGTCGAATTGTGAGGTCCCCAGCCTCTGCTCTTGTCCTTTTAATACCAAGCAAAGTTGACATGCTCACCCAATGTGGGAATTGAGAATGAATCTTGGCTAGAACATGGAAAGCTGCTCACTGAATGTGCAAATTGAGAATGAATCTCCCCTCAAAACATGGAAAGATACAGCGCTGTGTGGTGAGTAGCCAGGGCCATATTTGAAGGTGGGTGCCGCGAGGGAATCAGAATCCCGACGGGAGAAGAAAAAAAAAAAGAGAAAAGAGGAAACACAGCAAAAACTGAGCAAAGATAACGCAGACAAAAGATGCTGCCAGCCCCCCCCAGTGCATCCAGATTCGAGCTGGAGCAGCACAACAGGCAAAGCCTCAATTCCCGTGGTTTTTTTTTTTTTTTTTTTTTTTTTTTTTTTTTT